AATTCATTAATACCAAATGAATGATTACCAACTTTACAATGTACAAATATATAGACAACATAAAAAGAAAAAGGACAAATTTAGTTACAAAGAATATTCTTCTAACAAACTCCATGTGCAAGCTAAAACCGACTGAAGCCTTCTAGCATCTTCTATTTGCCTAATCAGCATTGCCAGCTGATGAATGTTGTTGGCAGTAGATAGCAACTGTAATGGATGCCAAGGAAGCCAGCTCACCCTCTTGATCCTTCATTATCTGTAAGCTCGAGCTTCATCTTCCAATAGGCACTTCAACAAGTGGTTTCCTAGTTCTCTACAACTATGATAAATTCCCTTATTCTTTTATGTCATTGAAAGTCTATTGTAATGCGAAATTACAATGTAAATCGTGAGTGATAAACACGAAAGCTCCACTTCATAGTCTTAGTTCAATGCGAAATTTTGAGACCAAAAAATTTTGAACATATTACTCCACTCATTTTAAAACAAATTCTGAATGGGAATTGTGAGAAATGTCCAAATGATAGAAAAATTGCTTGAACCGAATGACAAACTCGACCACATATTCAAGTTCCTGCTTCAATTCTAAGAATATTGTAGAAGTTATTTTAGGTTTTTGAAACTGCAATTCTTCTCCAGAAAACCAAGAATATTTCACCATATATAATTGATTAACTACGAACCATTTTTTCAGCGGGCCTAAAATTTTGAGACCAAAAAATAACAGCAGAACCAGAAAATGGGCATAAGATTATCACGTATTCCCTAGCCAAACAATAAGAGTATGCAGAAGTAGTAATCTCGCCAGATTCAAATAAAAAATATCCAAAATTCGTATTTACTTGTGTGGATCGATAAATGAGGAGCGGTGGAAAAGGAGATTGTGGGAGCTCTTTAACAGTAACTTATAAAAAAAAAGGAAATCAATTTAGAAATAATGAAATTCCTTTCCAAAATTTGCATGAACATAACAAAAAATAACTTACCGGTGTCAAATTCGTCATGTTGATGTCGTCGATGTTGATGTTGGAAGAGATTTAGAGAAGGTTTTTTGATGTGGGAATTTCCCTAATTTTCTTTATCTCGTGAACACAGATTTAGGTTCAGCCTCAATGAAAAAAAGAAAATGGAGCACCTAACAATGCATGTTTTTGAGAAACGGTGTTCTGTATGGGTCAAAGCAAAAACGATTGGGGGGATTTTTTTTCATTTTTAATTATTTTTTAAATGATTGGAGAGATTTTGATCAAAATCTTGTCACGTCAAGTTTAGGTAAAAGTTTGTGTAAGGTGTCATGTATATCCAGCATTTTCCTAAATGAAAACGGGTCATTATGATGTGGAGTTTTGAGCAGAAATTGTGAATGTTGATCTTAAGATAGCACCTTAAGTTATGGAACAAATAAAACTCCACAAACTAAAAATTATTTTCATTGCACTTGCAATCAATTATGTACAATGTGTTAGGTTTTAAAGATGTTGGTAATCTTTTGACAAAATTATTGTTGAAAAAGAGCCTTTTTAGTTAAAGTATCAAGTGGTAAGTTCGAAATCCTAGGGTTTGAGTGTGGAACGAAAAGAAAAGAGTCACAATTTCACTAGCATATCGCCCAACTGATGCTCGAGAGGTAAAAACAAAAGCTGCGTTGCCCATCTATCTCCTGAATTCGCTCGAACGACACATCGTCGTTCGCTTGTCGCCGAGTTGTCACTCGAGCGATAGTGTATCCGAGAAAACCTAATTCACGTTTTTCAATGTTTTTATTCGGCCTATACTACCCAAAACCTCTACACTATATATATACACGCCTCAATTTGAAAAATTAGTGTTGAACATTTAGACAAACAAGAGATTACTTCCTATATATCATTCTTATAGTTCAACCTTCATATTGAGTTCATCATTATATTGAAAAACATCAACCTCACATTAACCAAATACCAAAACACATACTTCTATAACATTTGTCAAAGTTCTGAAGATTAAGAAAGGTGACCGTAGTTTCTGGTTGTAGGAGAACAAGGACTTCTCATTGATCCACATGAAATATACGAATTCAAAAGACCGGGAGTTGGTGCAGGAGCAGGCAATCCAGGAGGGATTTGCTGATTACAGTCAAGAGGTCAGAAAGTACTAGAGTTAGTCAAGTCTGATAGTACTGTAAGTTGATTCCTTTATAGTGGATTGTTACTCGCTTAGACCCAGAGTTTTTACCCAGCTACAGGTTTTCTCCATCATCAATTTTCAAATGCTATTTATTTTTCAGTAATTTATTGACTGCGGTAATTCAACATAGGATAGTTCTACATGCGAATTCTATAAGAGTATTAACGTTGCTTGAGATGCAACTTGTTTATCTGACTTTTCGTCATGCGCGATTGCTCCAATTTCAACCATAAAGTAGCTACTAGACCCTCCTTCAAAACGTCCTGAAAAATGGTATTCGATAGATGAAGATGACTGTGAGAAATTGTCTTCTTATCATTTCTTAATTTCTCATCTGCGATCAAAGTTGTGGGCATCTTGTCAATTCCTAGCAATGCATCATCCAAATCTTGTTGTGCGAGTACTGCATACATCTTAACCTACCATAGTGAAAATTTAGTGCTCCGAAAACCTTGTCGGTCCTTTCACAATTGCAAATTTCGATCGTAGAACGCCAAATGCACATTCGACATCTTTTTCTACACACTTCTCGTTTCGTTTTAACTTTAAATAATCGTGTTTGTTACATTTTAAGTTTTTTTAATGTTGCAATTTTAATTAATTCATTAATTCTTATTAAAATTTGTTTTAAATAATAATAATAATAATAATAATAATAATAATAATAATAATAATAATAATTTATTGTATTAAAAAAACATATGATACAAATGACACAAATACCCTNACAAAATAATAAAAATAATAATAATAATAATAATAATAATAATAATAATAATAATAATAATAATAATAATAATAATAATAATAATTTATTGTATTAAAAAAACATATGATACAAATGACACAAATACCCTCCATCAATTAGTTTGGTTAATGGAAAAATGGTAAATTGGACTTCAAACTTTGGTGCCATATTGGAGAGCTTTTGCCCCCAAAATTTCATGCATTTTGGTGCTATAGTGCTAGCTTTCGAGATGGCCTAACAAAGTTAAAACAGTCTCAAATTTTGAGGCTTAAAATCGAGCATCACCAAAAGAGAAGCACCATGAAACTGGGCAAAACTATGCATACCTGTTGGCTGTTTACAAATCTTCCAAGAAGAGATGGAAAACTCGGAACTTTCAAGGACATTGCATAACCTGTCTTTTCGGTTTTCAAACCTTCAAGAAACTTGAAATTCTTCAAAGATAACACTTTTGAATCTTTCATTACCATACCTAACTGTTCTGGTCGAAATTTAAACCTCCAAGAGACTTGAATTTTTTTTAAATCTGGACAGATTAAACTAAATCTGTGTTGCTGGATTCGACATTACCACTTTATTAAGGTAAAATCAAACAAAAGCTCAATGAGCTCACAAATGCAAGGGGCAACTTTAGTGAGTGTTTCTCTCACTAAAGTTGAGAACTCCTCTCTCTAACCCCTACATCTTGGGACAACTCAAAATGCTTTTTACTTATATAACCCCTTATCATATTTTGATACTACTGAAAGTGTGTCCTGCTCAAAAGCATGTCCAAGAAGGCCGTTAAAGCCCAAGATGAAAGTAGCAAGCTTGCAGGAGAAGCAGTTTCCAATATTCATACTGTCACTGCCTCCTCCTTACAAATAAAAATTTTAAAGATGCTCGAGAAAGCCCAAGAATGCAGAAAAAAGAAAATATTCGCCAATCATGGTTTGCAGGTATAGGTCTTGGGACCTCTCAATGCCTCGTGACATAAACTTGGGCTTTAGATTTCTAGTATGGTGGTAAACTGGTTGCAGAAGGCCAGCTATATGGGATCAAAAGCACTGTTCCAAATGTTCATGATCTTGGTCAGCGACTCAGCACAGGCCGCATTATAGCTGGAGCTGGGACTATGACAAATGATCTAGCTAAAGGTTCTGAATCAGTTGGATCAGTTTTTGCAGTGTTGGATCGGTGTTCCTTAATTGAGCCAGAGGATCCAGAAGGCTACAAGCCTAATAGGTTAACTGGAGAAGTAGAGTTGCAAGATGCTGATTTTGCCAAACGTGATGATCTTCGACGGCTTTTCAGTTATAATTGAAGCCGGAAAATCAACAGCAATGGTTGGAGTGAGTGGCTCTGGAAAATCAACTATAATAGGTTTGATTGAAAGATTTTATGATCCA